CTTGCCGGATCGGTTACACTTCTTGTGTGGATGAGCGAGATGCGTGTATGATTTAGAGTGAGTGCTATTACGTGTATGTGTTATACAATTCAAGGTTAGTATAGTTTGTTGAAGGTAATGTTTAAAATGTTGGTACTACAGGTTTAAATTCACTTTATTTTGATTTCAGGTATCGACAAAACTTGCGGCAACAATTCCTATACGGCGAAACGAAACAAAACTACCATTTTTACCACAATTCTTAAGTGATCTAGTAGTCACAATGATCCAAGATTTCAGTAGACAGCTTGTTCTCGTCACGATCGGTCGTTTTTTCGGTACTTTCGAGCTGTTTATTTTTCTCCTTTTTTCACTTCGTAGCGAGTCTACTTTTTTTCCTAATCGCCTGGAAATCACTCGTGGCTGGCCATAAGGCTCCCCAACGCGAGTCATCGGAGTAGTGCTGGCTTTTAATAGCCATTAAATCCTAGAAACATATTTCTTGTTTTTTCATAAACCAAAGTCACCGGCTGGGGATAGCAGCTATTGGAACAAAAGCACGAGCTTTTGTCGGTTAGAGAAGAGAGTGGTCAGAACAATCTCGCACTCACAGTGAATTAGTAGTGAGTTACTATTTGTTCACATCCCTCACCGGGTAAAGTAGGCGCAGTGTTTCGGTGCAAATATCCGTTAAAAACCGTTCTTCACAGCCGGAATAGTCTTCGGTACAGGTCGGGGACACCCCAAGTCAGTTTTCGTGGCGCAATATATCACTCCGTCGAGTGAAAACCCCAGTCTGATACAGTGAAAGCAGTTTAACTCAAAGAACTCACTCCCAAGAGAGCGGTCTCTTATCCGGTATATAACAGTGAGCCGTAGTGTTTTCGCGGGTGTTACGTTCTCCGGATAACTTCACTCTATCTATCTGGTTTCCATTTCCCCCGAGGGAAAAAATAAATAATCAAAGTGCATCGTTGGGGGTAATTTTGCCCGCGGTCCACCGACCATGGTGACCCTTACTGGGGACCCAGGTGGAGGTCTATCGAACAAATCTACACAAAACCTAATCAATGGAAGCTACGCTGGAAGAACCCTTCCAGAGTACATGGACCCCTTTCTCTTAACAACCTCCGTGGAAAAATGGATCGGCTCAAAAATAGAAGGAGCTTTTCCAGAGGGCAAAGGAATCTCCTACGCTCTCAAGGTCCGTAGCCCTGAACAAATCGAACGTCTGCTGGCGATGTCGAAGCTACTCGACGATACAGAAGTCAAAATAAGCAAACATCCTAACCTCAACTTCACCCGATGCGTTGTAAGCTGTCTAGACACTGTGAATTTTAACGACGATGATCTCAAGGCTGCCCTAGCTTCTCAAAAGGTTGCGGATCTTCGCCGGATCATTCGAAGGGTTGGGGAACTATCATCCTAACGATCGAAGGGACTACTCTTCCGGAATTCATAGACTTTGGCTGGCTTCGATGCAGGACAAGACGGTACTATCCGGCACCGATGTTGTGCTATAAGTGCTGGAGTTTTGGACACAGCAGGGCTCGTTGCCAGCAAACCAATGCTACATGTGGAAACTGTGCCCAACAGCATGAGACCGCTGAAGGACAACACTGCTAGACTACTTGTTTTTGCACCAGGTGCAATATAGCCGAACACAGCCTCTCAAGCCACAAGTGCCCCGTGTACGTTACCGAAAACGAGATTCAAAAGATCAGAGTAGATCAAGGGCTCTCCTATCCAGCAGCCAAGAGGCTCTACCAACAGACGCATGGTACAAGCAGCTACGCTGGCGTTGCCTCTGCTGGCAAGGACCAAATTATGTTCGAACTGTCCGACAATCTTGCAATCATCCGTCTTGAAATGGAGGAAAAGGACAAGCGGATCCAAGCACTCAAAGCTGGCAACAATGGCAACATCACCAACAGCAACCTGATCCATGAACTTATGGCAAAAAACGATTCCCTCGCGGAAGAAATTAAGAGGAAGGACGATCGTATATTCGCCCTGGAACAGGTCCCAGTCGAACGATCCAGGACCATCAGCGGGGATGATACGATTGAACACCTATCAGCCCAAGTGTCTTCACTCAATAGCACCGTCGCCCTCAAAGATAAAGAGATCGCCACACTGCGAGCAGTTGTAGAAAAAATTCCGAAGGAAAACACCACCTCAACACCGCAAAACTCCCACAAATCCAGGAAACTCTGCCAAGAGGGAACATCTAAAAATGATCCGCTATCCAGTGAACTTCAACCACCCAAACCCCTAAAATCAGACCTGCGGGAGGCTCGACTCCGAAGCCGAAGCCGCAGCAACAACCCCAAAAAGGTAACTGGATCCCCAAAACGGTCCCGCTCTCCAATCAAGAAAGACAAAAGGAGCAACAACAACAACAAAACCAGTAATAGCAACCAACCAACGCAAAAGAACAAACCGAAACTCAAACTCGGCATTGACCCTGACTCGCTTTCGCGCTCATCAGAGCACTCCGACGACCCTATGAACTAATACAATTCTCACTGCACCATTCACCCCCAACAACCTACAATGCACCCCACAATCCCACCCACCCAAGATAATACGGTTCTTCAAAATGCGGAGTCACCCAGTCATGTAGCCGATACAAACGACATCATCACACCAACCAACACCAGCTGGATGAAGAAAACGGTGGAAGCCTCGGGTAGCCGGGGCCCCGTTAGTGCGGACGCTACACCCCCACCGGAACTGTCGGACAACCTCCGGCACTCGAACGCTCTCCCCGTTACCGGGACGCACAAGGGTGGTATCACCTGTTTCCCGTCTAGACCTTGGGACAAACGAGGCCCCGTTGGTGCGGAAGCCATACCCCCACCAGTACTAGCGGACAACCTTCGTTCCCCTTGGACTGACGGAGGAGGGACGGACAAGGGTAGAAATACCTACACCCCTGGAAGGACCATGGAAAGCTGCGAAGACTACGTGAAGCAACTCACTCCCCGCACAACACATAAGAAAAAAGGACTCCAATTTCATACCAATACAACTCATCTGACAGTTTCGGGCCACACAGGTTTTAACCTCAGCCCGCTTCTACCCGCAGCAAAAACAGATGCAGCCCTATATGACCTGTTCTCTCATCAAAGATTTGGATCATCGCTACTCAACCAACCGTCTTCCTCCCACAACAACAATAAACAAGCCACAAACAATCGCCCCCCTCACAAAGTGGGGAAAACAAATAATCCAGAAAGAACTCCCGGACTTGCGGCAACCCTGCCAGCGATAGACTCTCTTCGTCTGCCTCGTTCTGGTGAAGCCTCACCTATCATCGGACTTCTCGAATCAACGACAAACCTGCCAGTGCTGGACTCCTCACCGGCACCTTCCTCTGGCGAGACTACACTCGCAAGGACTCCGCATCGTCTAGAAATCCCTAAAGTTGCAACCGTTGATAGAACCAGGCTTGTGCTGCAGTGGAATATAAATGGTTACATGAACAATCTCCCAGACCTTGAGCTCCTGGTACACGAAAACCCTCCTTTGGTTCTCGCTATTCAAGAGATCCATAGGACCAGCACCGAAAACCTAAATCGTACCCTACGGGGATCATATCACTGGGTATACAAAAGTAGCCCTAATATATACCACTCCGTTGCAATTGGCATCCACACATCGTCAACTTTCTTCCCGATCCAGATTCAGACCGATCTTCCGATCGTGGCGGTTCGACTTTAAGCCCCTCTCGCAGTATCTATCATCAGCATCTATTTACCCTGCGGACAAATACCGGACCTACAAAACAAACTATTCGAGACGCTCAAGCAGATTGATGAACCTAGAATTATCCTCGGCGATGTCAACGGACATCATCCGGCTTGGGGCAGTTCAAAGTGTGACTCCCGAGGTAAACTTCTGGCCGATATCGCTGAATCTCTTGAGCTTATCATCCTCAACAATGGATCAAACACGTACATCAGCGGTCAAAGGGAGTCCGCCATAGACATATCAATGGTAATTTTAGACATTGTGAGTCAACTGCTCTGGCAAATTCACGAAGATCCCATGGGCAGCGACCACCGACCAATTGACATCTTTCTGAACGACCGTCCACCTGAAACATCGAAACGCCCAAGATGGATCTACGAGCTGGCAAATTGGGAAACTTTCCAGTCAGCGATAGATGCACGGCTTGAAGAGGCGATGCCGGAGACAATCTCCGACTTTGTATCCATGATTAATCGCGCATCCAAATCATCAATACCACGAACAAGTTCTCACCCCGGACGTAGAGCCCTCCACTGTGGACCACTGATACAAAGACTGCGGTCAAAGCCAGAAGGAAGGCTTTACGAGCTGCCAAACGACTGCCCGAAGGACACCCCGGTAAGGAAGAAGCGATGGCCTCCTACAGGAAAAGCCGTAACGGTTGCCGACAAACGATCCGAGAAGCGAAGCGAAACAGTTGGGAGAACTTCCTAGAGAGCATCAACGCACACCAAACATCAGCGGAACTTTGGGGACATGGTTATGCCTTAAGCGGCAAAAAAAGAACCACAGGTATTGCCATCCGAGCAAACGGAACAATCACTCGTGAGCAGAGCGTCGTAGCAGACACGTTTGCTGACTATTTTGCCAATCTCTCCTCGCTTGGCAGATACGACCAGCATTTTATCAGGCGGCACGGAGTCTCCAACGAATCCTTAGCGCGACTGCAGATCCCTAGTGACCGTAGCGGCCTTCAAATCAATCGCCCCTTTTCCCCAGTTGAACTCAACTATGCGCTATCGAAAGGAAAAGGGAAATCTGCGGGCCCCGACGGCCTCGGCTACCCAAGTCTAAAACACTTGCCCTCAGCAGCGAAGCAAATCTTTCTGCACCTTCTTAACAAGATCTGGCTCAACGAATCCTTACCTAAAGAATGGAACCACAGCCTAATGGTGCCAATTCCCAAAAGCGGTTGCAATCCAGTCGACCCCAGCAGCTACAGACCAATTTCCTTAACATGTTGCACCAGTAAAATCATGGAAAGAATGGTAAATCGGAGACTGATTCAATTCTTGGAGGACCACGGCCACCTTGACCATCGGCAGCACGCCTTCCGTCCCGGTCATGGAACAGGAACGTACTTCGCTACATTGGGACAGCTACTAAATGACGCCAAAGAGCGAGGGGAACACACAGAAATCGCAACACTCGACCTGTCGAAGGCCTACAATCATACCTGTACACCCAACATCATCAAACAGTTACAGGATTGGGGTCTATCGGGACATATATTGGCATTCGTCCGCAAGTTCCTCGACAACCGGACCTTCGAAGTATGTATTGGAGCTCACAAGTCAAAAATTTGCCGAGAAGAAACGGGGGTTCCTCAAGGCTCAGTCATCGCCGTCACTCTTTTTTTGGTAGTAATGAACGGGGTTTTCCGTAACCTGCCGAAGGATATATACACTTTCGTATACGCCGACGATATTGTCCCCGTCACCGTGGGCAGAACACCGAAGGCCTTGAGACGGAAGCTTAAAGCGGCGGTCAATGCTGTAGTAAGAGCTCAACCGGATTTCAACTCTCCGCGGAAAAAAGCGCCGTAACGCACATCTGCAGTTCTAATCACCGTATCATCCCCAGCACGATCACTATCAACGGTAAAACAGTTCCTTTCCGGAAGACAATTAAGATTCTCGGCGTACGCATTGACAGACACCTTACCTTCAAAAACTATTTCCTGGAGGTCAAAGAGAACTGTAAAACGCGGATAAATTTACTAAAGACGCTCTCCAAAGAGCATCGCAGCAACAATCGAGATATAAGACTGCGAGTCGCAAAAGCCATCATCCACAGCAGGCTCCTCTACGGAATTGAGCTTACCTGTAACGCTTCCAATCATCTAACTATAATCCTCGGTTCAGTATACAACAGCTCGCTTCGAATTATATCTGGACTTCTGCCATCCACACCCGCCATCTCCACCTGCATTGAGGTCGGGGAATTGCCTTTCGTCTTCTGTCTAACCACCACCCTATGCAAAAGAGCCGTTTGCTTTCTATAGAGAACCGCTCCCTGCCCCGGAAATGTCTATCTCCTTGACGAGGCTAATCGACACCTGCGTCAAATATCAAACCAGGAGCTACCCCCAGGACTAGAAATTGGGCCGCTCCACAAGTGCGCTACGACAAAACCAATAAAAACAGAACAGAAAAACACCGTTGTTAAACTACAAACCATAAAATACGCTAACCATGCGATCCGTTTCACCGATGGCTCTAAGGCACAAGGGCGCGTAGGCACGAGCATGACTGAAGGAACTTCATTCCAGCACTACCGTCTTCCGGATATTTGCTCGGCTTTTTCCGCTGAGGCCGCAGCTATTACCCTAGCAACGTCTAGTCCATCCACCGGTCCAGTAGTAATTTTTTCCGACTCCGCCAGCGTTCTATCAACTTTATGCAGCCCGACCGCAAGGCATCCCTGGATTCAAGAGATACAGAACAGAATCAATAACAAAATCGTACTCGTTTGGATTCCGGGACACTGTGGAATCATAGGTAACGAAACGGCAAACCAACTAGCCGCGTCTGGAAGATACGCTCCTTTTCTAACACGTGAAGTCCCCGGACAGGACATCAAACGATGGGTTTCAAGTACGGTTCGCGCAGCCTGGGTGGCCGAGTGGAACAGTCTTAGACATTAGAAAATCAAAGGTGATACGCATAAATGGGAGGACCTTCCCATTCTAAAAGACCAAATAAAAGTTTCAAGATTCCGCACTGGCCATGCGCGTTTCTCACACAACATGGGAGACAGTAGAAACTTCAGAACACTGTGTGAGATTTGTCAAACGCGACTTTCCGTTGAACACGCCATCATCGAATGCCCTGCCTACCAATCCCATCGGAAGCTCCATGGTATCCCCAATAGCATTAGGAACGCCTTACAAAATGACAAATCCTCCACATCGGCTCTTATCTGTTTCCTAAAAGACACTCAATTATACGACCAAATATGATCCCGAAAAAAAAATCTAAGTAAGGACAGCACACCATACGGCCCCACAGAAACTGCCACAAACCAATGCTACAACTCCCACACACGATGAACACCCTGCTTTCAACAACGGACATGATCTGGGACGAACAACAATACTTAACATGGCAACGACCCGGCTTTCCGACAGAAACAACGTAAAAAACCCAAATATCTAATTACTGTATTATCGTAACAATTACTCAGGGGGGCCTCAAACGCCCTCTTCTATGAGATAACCGGAGATGAATCAGCCTGCGGCTGAAAATCTCAATAATAAAAAAACAAAAAAAAAGATCCAAGATTTTAGATATTGAGAGAATGAATATTAACTGAACTCGTTTTGGAGGCTAAACAACCTATAATTGAAGCACTCATCAGCAACACTCCTTACATAAATACCAAATTCCATTGAAAGCATGGACATAATTTAAAACTTTTGAAGTAAAACGGCACGTTCCTTCATTATGAATAGTTTGGTGTACCATAGCGGTAAGACCGCTTTGGATAATGAGTAAAATTGGAGTAAATTTTGAGTAACTCTGGGTAACTCGAGTTGCTCAATATTCAATGTCGAGGTGACATAGCAACCTGTTTGTTTTGTGTGCATTCCACAATTCAAGCATAACTTTTCAAAAGGAGGTAAGTCGCAAAAATAAACAAATCGAGTTTTCCCTCTATCCGGTTGTAAATTTCATGCTTTACTCTATAGTAGTTGCGAAACAAAGTTTAATTACTTAATCATCGAAGAAAAAATAAATTTAATTACCAACCTATGTGTTCTTCTTTCAATGTTTTGAAAAAGGTTTAGATACACCCTATTGCCGTCAATATGACGCAACTGTCAAACATTAAAAATAACACGCAAACCACAGATAAGCCAACAGTGAAACGTCACATGTGCAAATGAAAATCGAAAATTTGAATCAGCAGTTGCGTCGTGCTGCTTCCGAATAAATTTAAAATGGAACAACTCACTACCTGATATTAGATCCCGGTATTTTAAACTTCAGTTATCCTCTTGTTCCAGATAACCTGCTCCTGACTAAGGATCTCCTTCTCCGTTTCTCAAAATGACGAATTTCTTTGTGAGAGTTAGCAGACCGACGTATTTCTGCTTCCAAATAAAAACTGGTGTATCTGACGCAGGTGTAAAACGATCTGTCAAATCGACGCATCTCACAAGGTGTATATAACAACTAAGGTACTATAACGACGAATCAATCAAGGTGTATGTGGGAAGTTCAGAACCAAAAGGGTGTGTCTTTTAATTTTATCAAAATTGCTATTAATGTATGCAAAAACCCAACATTTTTCATAATAATCATAAACCACAATCCTGTATGTAACTTTTGACAGCAACAGATCGTGAAAAATAACTAAAACTTTTAAATAGGATTTAATAATATAGTCTGAATATTGCTACCCCATTTTTCTCATTTGCTGTCAAATGTTGCATACGTCCTTTTGAAAAGTTATGCTTGAATTGTCAAGCAAAGATGTTTGCCGAGGAAAATCTTATCATTGGATGGCGATTATATTAGTAGGATTTTTCTAGTTAACATGGAGTAGTGACACAATTTATCAAAGTGATGATACAAACGGTTATTGAACACAGTTATTTAGCACTCCATTGCGAGCATTTTGGCAGATTGCATAGACACGAAAAAGATTATAGGTGGGGGTTATTCGACTTTTGCCACTGGTGAAGTGATTAAAGTCACGTCGTGGTGACGCGTTTCTCCATTTGATTTACACAGAGAGTCACATCACCACGACATGACTTTTCTCACTTGACTGTAATGACTGTATTGTCTTAAAACTGATCGAAGATTTTACTGATGAGACTTTTTCGCTTCTTTCCCAAATGCACCGTACCATCACAATTCAGTCGTGATTTCTGAGGGTAATGTCAAGGAAATTTATTTTAAATAAAACCTTTCCTCTTAGTTTATACCGGGATTGATATATTTGTTCACTTTGAATTGCAGCTCACTCACGATTTCGGATTAGTGGTGTGGCAATAAAATGTTGAAATTTATAATTGAAAGACCACACCGTTTGCCGAAAACTTAAGGCGACCCGTCATAAAGCACACCAAATACGAACTCGTTTTTCGTACCAGGCCTTCTCCGGATCATTTCGGAAATACATATTCCTGATTTTTCAACTGTGTTGTCCTACCATTGTTCTAAGACTACGCTTATAAGAGTAATTCATGCTGAAAAGAAATACACATGGATTATTGAGTATTTGTTTGCAAGAATACAAAACTGGAATAAATAATTACTCTGGCAGCTTATGTTCGTTTATACAGATTTAATTTTATTTTTTTTTACGAATGCGAAACTACTATGATTACTTTTGAGTAATTATGAGTTACTCAAATTTACTCGCTGTGAAAATATTAACTCTGAGTGCAGCCGTCTTGCCCGCTGATGTGTCTGGCGAATCCCCAGGAGTACGCGTACCCCAGGTTGAGAAACGCTGTTTTAAAAAATTGAGCTCACGAGGTATGAAGCAATCCACTAGAAAAACAAATCTTCCATGTCGAGCAATATCGATTATTAGAAATGAGGAAACAAGTTGATAAATTGACCCGCCCTAGAATTCTTTCTCCCCGATTGTCCACTGTCATTGTTGGGATACATTTTTTCCTCTCTCTATCCCACATGCTGCCCAACAACAATCGAACTATCGGCTAGCACAACGGTCGTCGTCCGTGTCGTCCTCGTCATCATCAGCATCATCAATCTGTGGGTGCCTACTAGGATTGACTCGAGAAAAAAAGGACAACGCGCCACACCACACCGCTATCAACCGCCTGCTATGGACCTATCTGAGGTGCGTGAGAAATGAAGCGATAATTGTTGTTATTTTGTAGCTCTATGATGATCCTTTTGTTTGTGCCCTGGCAGGATCAGGTTGTGTCCCTTTTGTCGGTGCGATTCGATCCGTTTCGGATGATTCGAAGTTGGTTTTTTCTTCTTCTTCTTAGAGTTTTCATTCGTCAAAGTGTGGAAGATAAATGATACGCAGAGCAGAGAGACGTTCTGGCTTTTTATGGGATTTTATCGGTGACGGTTACAAGTGTTACGAGCTTGTCGACAAAGTGCAACCGGCTGCTGCTGGATTCCGAGAAGCTAGCTGTAAAGTTTGAATTTATTAGAACGGTGACTTTTCCCAGCGGATGACAAGTTTCGGGTTTTCTCACGATCTGCTCCCACCACGCGCGGTCCGGATGACCTGAGCGATAAAAATCTCTAATTTAATTAGACGTCCATCTCCAGCGGGGCGCTAAAGAGTTGAAGAGTTCAAAAAAGGGCGCCCGAGCGTTTCCGTACTTGGCTACCGGTGCTGGCTCATTATTCATCCAAATTACCCGGGACAGTAAAGTACGCGCCATCCTACGAAGGTGGACGATGAGGTGAGGGTGAGTGGGGGAGGAACTGTGTCTTGTACTTTACTGTTAATGAAGGTTTCAATTGAACCACTCGACCTGAACCCGCGTGCACGCGCACTCTGGCCGGCAGCTGCTTGGAAGGGCCGAAGGTTAGGTCGTAAAAAA